GCGCCGGGCGGGAGTTACTGTCAAACAGGCCAGGCCCATGTCGGCCCCGCTCCTTTTGCGCCTCGTACGGCACATGCGCAACACCGCATACCAGCTAGACACCGTGGGTGAGCGAGTGGCTCGCAGTAGAGACGTCGCGGCGTTAGTAGTCGCCTTCCACACGATGCACCGGGGATTCGATTTGGCATGCGAATTAGCAGCACAGGTGTTGCGCCTCCCAGAAGGCCAAGGAATGATCTTCAACCTTCACTTTGGCAAGAAGCTCGGCAGTTTGTCACACGCAGTCGTTGCTAACAGGGATAAGAAGTGTTACGAACTGTGCCCGGTCCGAGCGGTACAAGAGTTTTTCATCGTGGCGAAGTCTGTGGGTTGGAATACGCGTGAGGGGTACCTGTTTCCCGAGATCCAGGGAGATGGCTCGAGGGGGACGTCACAGTGGACCGCAGCTCGAATGACAGCGGCTCTGCAAAGTCATATGCGGGAAGGCCGTTTGAACGACCACCACGGCTTGTATACTAGTCACTCCTGTAGGGTAGGAGGAGCCGTTAGCCAGTCCCTCGCGGGGACGGCCGTGGAAGCCCTTATGGAGCAAGTGGGGTGGAAGGCGAGAAGGGTAGCCCAGCGGTACGTACGCCCCATGATGCACGGGGGGGCCTCTTCCGCTAAGCGTCCGCGAGATCCGGACCGGAGGGAGCAGGAGCAGCGTATATCCAAGCAGTGGATTTGCCCATGCAGGAAGGCGTCGCGGAGACGTTTGCGTTCGGGATTTAGACTAATGGCTATCGAAACTCGATTTACTAGTATTTATTTATGGAAGTTTGGGATAAAATATCAGACATCAGGCACCGACACAGCATGAATAGCCGAAAGGTGAAGTATGGGTGGATCCCGTGCCATACCCGGAGGCCTCATTTCATCCCAAACTTGATACATGATACAACTATCCCGCAGTAAAATAATGTCGAAATCATGGAACCGCGAGGGGGTTCTGCAGATGAGAACAGATTGCCTGCAGAGAAGACTTGGAGCGAGCACCCACTCGTGACAAGCGTTCTCAACTCTAACGGAGGGAAGGTACGGTTGGAAGAACAGCCGTCCCCGCCCACCCAACTATGCTAGGTATTTGATTTGACTGGGACTAGTATTTTGAGCGACTACCGCGTTGACGACACGGAGGGCGTCAACGCGGAGGTAGTAACCCTGGGTGGAGTCTCCGGGCTTTTCGTAGCCGGAGGCCTCATTTCATCCCAAACTCTATATCGTTGACAACTATCCCGCAGGAACATGGCGCAGTGTCGTTTAACAACTTGCTGTTTACAGAAAGTACTTCGCTGCTCTTTCAGGCGACTTGAATATAGACTTTAGTATGTACAGCTGCAGGACTGTTACACATGTAGACTACACGCGCCACATTTTTTTTTTTTTGAATTTCAAAAGTTGGGGTTGTAATCTACTGCTGTAGATTTGAGTGTGACTGTTTCCCGCTCATTTTGAAATCTACATTGTTATGTTGTTCTTCGTGTCGGTGAAACGCGTTGAAGGGGAGGAGGATACATAGGATAGTAGGTTAGGGGTGCTATTGATTTACAGCAATTGAGTTTAGTCTTTCTTTTGTGTAACGCATCATCGAGGCAAATGAACAGGCGGCGGTCAGCACAGCAGTAGACATGCAGTCAATGGAGGTAGAACTTCCCTGTTTTTCATCGAACGGTGTGTGTCGAAAAGTGTTGTCGAGACCGTTTGCAGCGTGTCTCAGCCATGTTGTAGAGCATCCTTCATGAAGGGCGGTAGCAGCAGCGACGAGTAGTAGTCGATTGTAGTGGATATTAACTGGTCCACGACGAAAGGTACACACGCGTTGTATCCAAGTGCACACCTTGGAGTTGATACGCAGCACGAGAAGGTGGTGTCGGCTGCGACGTCAATAGGGTGAGCGGCTTTGCACGAAACTCGAGCCAGCCTTCCCGCCTTGCCTCAACTCTTATCGGAGGAGAGCTAGATGTGTAGACTATGTGGTCCACGGCAGGGATCCGAATGCCGGCTGCTCCGAACACAATGGGAGGTTGGCGGTAGGGATAAAGCGTGAGAGTATGCAAAGGGGGATCCCCTGACCGTCTGCTCAATGCAAATTTATTTGAAGACTATCGACGTGAGATTTAGAAATTAATTTTGAAGGAGCTTCTACCTGGTCAGGTGACGTCGTTTGATCTGGGATTAGAAGATTTTGTTTCATCAGATCTTGCCGCCAAGTTTGAAGCCTTCAAGTGGACGGCATTTGGCGAATTTTGGTTCCCTAGAGAGCTGTTGGAACAGTCTTCTTGAAGATCTGCTCAATATATTCCGGATACGTGTGCATATGCATATATATGATATGCATCGCACATATATGTGAATATTGAATATTGTGTGCAAGAGGTGCGGAGGAAATCTCCCATCACACACAGCATCATGGCAGATACAGACTACTGTAGGTATTTCGCCGACTCGCCGGCTCATTTCTCCTCCCTACCTTGAGTCAATACTTTGTGCAGTACACGCGTCGACGGCACCCTAAACGCAATATCAAGACACAACAACAACCGACTGAAATCGGAACATCCCATTTCTTTTCTATCTCCGACTTCCGAATGCGCATACGTATGCATAGACTATGCGTAGCCATCCCAGTCGCCAGAGGTCAGGGTTGGGTAAGTTGTGCGCACTGGCGGTTGTCAACATCGACCATAGAGGCGCAGCACACGCCGGCCGCTAAGCATCAGGCCTACAGACTCACATCATGTATGCCCCCCCCGCCCACTGGGGGCCGAGGGGGGCGATTCTGCACCCTCTAGCATACACAGGATAGAATCGCGCTGAACAACAATTTATTTCTCGATTTGGCGCCAATTGGTTGCTCATGCAACCCACACACACACTCGACTACCGAAAAACATTCAAACAGTCAGAAAAACGTTCGGAAACATAAATTCAAACACACAAAGACTACATACCCATTAGAGGTAAGACCACAGTCGAACGGGATGTATGTGTTGATGTCTTCACAAACGTGCATAGACTAGACTATGCATAAGGGCTGCTTTCAACAGTCGGAAAAAAAAAACACCCCGGCAATCAAATAAATTATATGTACCAGAGAGACGTCATAGGTGGAGGGCCACACTCCTCCGGGACTGGAAGACGACTTTCGGGGACGGAAGGCAAGCACCCGGTAACTTTCACGTTAGCCCGAGAGCCCGCAAAGACAACGACACTCAATCTACATATATATCGGAACGTCAATCGTGCAGGGCAGAAGAAATTACGAGCACAAAGAATTTGTCTCCGCCCACACCGTTTTTTGACAAACCTCATCACCCCTCCTCACCACTCCCTCTCACACCTCGCACACTCCCCCTCTCGCTCGGAACCACAACAGCTACCTCTTGGGCAGGTACGACCCCAACACACTAGGGAACGAACACGTCGACAAACCCGATGTTGCCCTCCTGTATTTCCTGAGTGTGTGTACCATTGTTCTTGTCTTCGTTCCGATCTCTCTCCATATCTCTCATTCGTAGCGAAACGACAGTCGTTTGTTGTTCGGCCGACGGACGGAAATCACTGAGATTGATCATGCATATTGACGAAATGGTAAGTCTACCCAAGTTGACGATTCACGTTCAGGTTCGGAACAAGAGGGCGGAAACCTACGTGCAGCAGTCAGCTGCAGTGATCTGTCTGCCCGGTGTAAAGTACCGACGGTCGTACTGTGGGCATCTGTAGTACTCTACCAGTGCTTGTATCGCAGGATGATTTTATCCATGCTCTTTATATCTGATCTGTGTTATCAATTTTTCTCGTTTTTTTCCTGATTTTCGGTGTTGGTTCTATGTGATGACGTCGTCACTGGTTTTGTAGAGAGACCCGTCAGAGATGGCGAGGCTAACCCGGGTGCCTTGGTTATGTGCCTGATCGTGGAAGACCCCTTCAATGTGGAACGATTCTTAGCTAGTGTCGATATTTTTCACTGCAGTGCCTAACACAGACGATCGGGAGAGATTCGGGTGATTGTCAATTGCTGCAATGATGGCTTTGGTTGGTTGTTCTTTTTCACTGTACGGCCGCAGACACATTCTGACAGCACTTCAGACAGCAGCTTTGTGCCCCGCCAGCTTCTTGTTCCATGCCTACCATGGTGTTTTTGTACAGACAGCACTTCAGACAGCAAGTATGCTGTAGTCGGCAATCATTCGTTTTGGTACAGAGTGGGACAAGTAGGGGGTGATGTTGCTGTAGTCGAACGGTGAGACGGACGTGTAGTTCAGTTTTGGGCACGCGTACGGTGCTGCAGGGATTATATATAGGTGTAGTAGTACCTCTTCGGGCTCTTGTACACCTTTTTCTTGCTACGTGTGCGTGTTCTTTAGATCCTCAGATGGCTCCAGCACTTTCGTGACCACGGGCCGAGAGTCTTTGCTAGATTTTGGCATTTAGCAACTGGCATACGGTTTAATGTGAAGTCAACAACAACAACAACAATACGGTTTAATGTGAAGTCAACAACAACAACAACAATCTCTGCAAACAACGGCCGGGCGATAAAAAATATGTTTCGCGCATTCATGTATTTCGATGGATCCGGGGGGGGAACAATGACAGGATTCATTCGCCGATACAAATAAGCCGAGCCTTGGCTACTGCACCATTCAAAATCGGAGGCTTTCCGACCACCGCACTAGATCGTACGCACAACGCACGCACAACACACAACAACAGTTAAGTACGCATCGAGGTAAAATGGGGTTCGCTGATAAAATCGCACAACAAGCCAAGTTGAACAAGCAGATATTCTGTTCGGACGCAGATGATGTTTTATCCGGACGCGACCCCGGGCGAGAACAGCTTTTTTTTCACAAAGGCGACTCGATGGGTCCATCATATGGAAAAACCACCAACCATCAACAGACAGAAGCGGAGCACAGGCATGCAGTACAAGATGTGCGAGGCGTACAGACAGGCTGATGTTGTTTCGCCTAGACTGCCGACATGAGCCCATTTGGACGCCCTTGTTGATCCGGCAGACGAGACATCAGACGAACTACATCGACATATCTTTTTCCGCCCTCAGAAAATTGCCGAAACCGCGTACGTACCAGGTAGACTACTACTACTACTGCCGTACAGCAGTTGGTCCTCACATTAGGAAGTAGGAACAAGGGGTGGCAATGTCGGGAGTCTGGGGGAACATGGGCTTGAGTGGGGGGTGCCTCAGAAAGAGCAAGACGGCGGATGTTCCTCTCGTGGTGTGACCGGTGGTAGTATCGATCAGCAATGCCGCACAGACTTTTGCGCGCCGAAGTATGCGTGCGACCGCTTTAATCTAACCACTTCGGCGGAAAGCGGATTTCTGTTCGATAAGGTGTCAGGGGTACCATGGAAGACGGAGCTGGGTTTTGTTTGATTTCGGGTGGATGAGGTTGGGGGTTTTGTTCGTTTTTCTCCATCTATCTAAGGTTCGTGCCTAGAGTTCAGCTGTAGTGTTTCAACCAAAGTTTTGTTGACCTAGAGGCAAACATTCCTAACTATTGGGCATCGATTTAATTTAGCTTGGCATGACGGCCTTTACGATCGACTTTTTATGTATGTCTGCATTTATCTGCAATTGTCGGAGGGCAAACAATATAATCACTAGCTCTATAGGCCCACAAAATGGGGAGCCCGTGGTCGCAAAACCCGGCACACATGACGCCGGGGAGAAACAAAACGAAAATAGCAAGGCTCCTATCGGGAACATTTTCTCAATTCGGTAACGATTAGTACGGAACCAGCGGACGATCACGGTAAAAATAAAATACATGGTAATATTTGGGTGGTAACTGGCCATCATGGTAACGTTTGGGTGGTAACTGGTGACCACAGTGGTATTGCCGCGGTAACGGGCCACCACGGTATTCCATCACGGTAATGCACGGTAACGTAGGATGGAAATAACCCACAAGGCGATGCACTGTAACTGTGTTGCGCTTTTGTTGCAGTGCACGTGACACACAAACGAACAGCGCGTTCCACAAATGACACGAAACACACGAATGAAACCTATAGACTATCGCATTTCGTTTTCAATTGTTATGAGACTACAGGCAAAAATCTCGCAGTCAAGTCACCGAAAGACGAGACGAAGGATAAAACAAACGAACTACATAGAGACTATGTTACGTCCAGAGCGACCGAAGAATCGACGCCAGAAGGAACAACTACCTCAGCATCGACATCTTGGATCTCGACCCCCTCGCTCATTACCCTCGGGTGTGTCTACACTTTACACTCGTCGTGTTTTGATTTTGTGTTTACGCAAAAAGGAAAGGCCGACGGTGTTAAGCATCCGACCCGTTGTATGAAATGGCACAAACTAGCAGACAGGCCCCTAAGCAATGTGTACGGTAGCACATGTCATATTCCAGTACGGTACCGGGAATTTGACATCTCGCCGGTAGTTGCTTGGGTTGTAACCAAAAGCCACGGGATTTCGACATTTTGCATCGTATTTGGTTGGGGGGAACAACGGGATTTCACGTCCTTGATAATGATTTGGATCGGATTGGGAGGAGGCCATCCGGTAATGATTTGGATGAGTACCGTAACCAGGAAATATCACGGTAACGTTACCAATTTCCGTTTCCGTGTAGAACCCCGCTGGAAAGTACCGCGGTAAAATTCCCGAGAGGAGACTTGAAAAACAGAGTACCCCTCGGAAAAAGAAAACAAAATTAATGGTGTCCTGCAATGTTCATACTAAATTATGTAGACGTCTAGCCTCTGTTTTGGGGTAGTGGTCATGTTTGTCCGTGCTGCTTCGCTGGCGTCGCCGCGCCGAAAAGCACGTAGGTATGTAAGGTGGATGTTATTCGTCAGCCATTCTGATTTGACGCGGAGATGATGTGTAGATATTGTAGAAAGAATTTGTGAACGGCATCATCTACGGCCAGCCAAAGGGTACACGCTTAAAACACGCTGAAAAATATTCCAAGACACATGGGGCTACTAATCCAAAATCGGGGTCACTTTTGTTGGAGGGGGTTGTACTCATAGCGTGCATGCCGTAGTCGTTAGACCATTGACCTCGCATACCTACAAAGCCGGGACGGAGCACGCCGGGTTCTCACCGGACCAGGCTCTCACATCACCAAGCGCGAAGCGCCGTGAGATATTCGGCGAGTCGCATGAAGGGTGCGCTGCATCCTGCTAAGGGTGTTCGGCATCTTGTGCTTACTTCCTTGCGTACGGATGACAGCTGCGTATGAATTAATTTATTTTCTGGTGCTTTCACTTCCAGAGACAGTTGTAAGCACTGTGTAACTGCCTCGAGGGTGCTTGACCATTTTAACACAACGTGGTGCGATCATCCCCCTTGCGCGGAGTGAGGGTTCACCCCGCACAACATGATCTACTCAACCACCGCTATGGTTACCGCAAAGAATCAAAACGGACGAAAAAAATAAAAAAACCGGTAACCTGGTTGCCGAGTTGACGAAGTGAATTGGCT